AGTCTTGTAGGCATCTACAGCTCCAGGAGTTAGTAAAGCTGATCAAATGTACTTAGTACAGATGTAAGACTAGCTCTGTGGGAAAAACGCCTTGTGAGGCTGGGAACAAGGACAAACATTTAAGTACTCCTCCCTCCAGCAACTCCAAAGCATTGGATTTGGCCAGGCCTTGCATGGGAATCCTGTTCCTGACAGGAACTTTAGTGTTGGCCATTCAGTGGCTTTGGAAGCTGGTTCTTACCATGATATTTAATTTACGGCCTAATCCATTAGGGAGAAACTCTCATCCAACCTGTCCCAAAAGCAGCAGAGGTTCTCCTTCTGAGGACCCTGAAACCTCTTTTCAATGAAAGCACAATTACATAATTAAAAAAAAAAAAAGAAGAGAAAGCCCTTGTTATAAAATTTTAATCACCACTGTTCTTTTAAATACACTAATAGCAAATGAAGAGCCCTCTTATGTTTAGTCTGGATTTTTCTTAATCTTCATAATGCCTTTCTTCTTGTTTATTTTGTTACCATGATATTGGACAACACAGACTCACAGGAGTGACATTGCCAGGAAGAAATTAAAAAGGCGAAGGGGCCCAGCTCCTTGGCCTCACATCAGAAGAGCAATCTCACAAAGCTCCTGTTATTTATCTAGCTGGAAGGAAGTGCCCCCCTTGCTCCCTCCAGCTGGAAGAAGTGAGTCTGGCCAGATCCTGCACACAGAGCCCATTGCAGTCTCATCCCATCACTCCTACCAAATGCCTCTGTAGGATCTCAGGAAGGGGAAGGGATCAAATTCAATGTAAAGCAGCTCCAGATGTGCTCACAGAGCTCTGCAGGTCCCGTGAGCTCCGGAGTGGGAAGCCTGGAGTTCTTTCTACCCTCTGTAGACATCTCCGGTGTTATCTTCTAAACATCTCAAGATGATCCTGGCTCCTTTCCCAGCTCTGTTACATACAGCACCATTCCTCTGCCTTCTCCACAGGCATCATGTCCCTGTTTGGAAACTCACTGCTCTTGATGGTGGCCTATC